CCTGCAGGTTATGTCGGATCTGCTGATTTCGAACGAATCGTTCGCGTTTGCTCTCGCCCCAGATAGCAACAGCCTGTACGAGTCATCGTACTTGAACATACGTCTTCGCGTCGCCTGGGGTAGTGTTCTGTTCAACCTGCACGCCGTCGTTCTGCCGATGTACGAACGCCACACGGCTAATTACTGCATCAGCCTCATCGTCCGCACGTTGGATGCCATTGCCCCAATCTGGCGTGACAAGTTGCTAGGGGTGGGCTCCGTTGGTGAGAACACGATGACCGGTCGACATTCGGGAGTCGTCACTCAGCTCGTGGCCATGGCCACGTACCCGACGGTGCGTGCCCCACCAAGGCGACCTGATCATGAAGAAGGCCGCCGCTGCTGTCATGGACCAGACCTGGATAAAGGTCGCCTACGCTTTCTCTGTCTACCTGCGCGACCAAGGTAATTTGGCATCGAGGCGATCGAGGTCGAGCGCGACGGCGCAAACCAGCCCGCCCGTGTATTGATTCGCGCCGCCTGTTCTACCGTCCAGCATCGCCAAGGTGCGTACCGGTGTCTTCATCCACAAGGTCCTGAACCCGTATCGCGATCGTCTCCATCAGTGCTGGTCGCCAGCCAAGGTCGAACAGATCGAAGAAGAGCACAAGATGCTGTTCACGGCATATCGCGATGACACCAATTTCCGAGCGAAGTTGGACAAGCATACGCATATGACCGGCTTCAACGCCGGCTGGAGCGACATTGACAACAACGGTCGAAAGTTAGCGACTATTCGCTCTTTCATGGCCAACCTGGCGGTCGTCTTCGCCAACACCGCTTCGGTCGAGGGCGACTTCAGCATTTTGAAGGGTGAGAAGGACGAGTTCCGCACCAGCCTGGGCCACCTGGCGCTGGAAGGCATATTCCAAGCCAAGCAATTCGAGCAGATCCGGAAACAGTACTCCTTGCTGCTCCCGTCAGCCAGCGCATAATCGGTCTCCAGACTCTCCACGGACCCCTACACCAGCTAATACATAGTCAAGGCTTCGACGAACAATGAACAAATGATTTGATCCTCATTTTCTGCTAGTTTGGGCGCCATTACAGCCTGTGTCACATATGCCACAATTAACATCGGCCGATGTGCCTAAATTAAGCTAATCGTACTAATAGTGGCAAATGCCACTATTTAGGTGGCCTGACAGGAACGTCTTCGTAGATCGATAGGGCAGGTTCCCAGGAAGACTACAGATCATCCAGGCCAAGCCACTCGATGAGGATTTCCCATACCCCATCTCGCAGACGCAGGTCCCGGAGGTCTTCCAGATAAGAACCTTAATCGCCGAACGCAATTTGGGCCTTCAAATCTTCATTGACTTCACGTCCGCCTTGACAGTACGGGCGGAGCCGGCACGCATGGTGCAAGGACGTCGCTCCCAGAGGCACCAGCTGCTGGACTTCCATCAGGTAGTCGGAGACCACCTTCACGACCCGAAAGGGTCCCTTCCAACGCAATGTTAGCTTTCCCGGATGCTGGAGAGCCCGGGCCACCAAAACAAAATCGCCCAACGCAAATTTCGCTAGCTTCACTGAACGTTGACCATCACGACGGTACCGGGCCTTAGCGCGCTTTGCTGCCACGTGCTTGTGCATTATTCCCAGAGCATCTGCGAGCTCTGTCACGTGGCGTATGGCCCGGGACTTAATCCAGTCGATCGTTACCTCCTGGTGCTCGTCCGGGTGGACCAGTCTGGTCAGGGGAGGTGTAGCAGGCAGGCCCGTAAACACCGTCGTTGGCGCTACGCCGTCGAAACGGTCGGCCGGCTACTGATTCAGGGCAGACTGTATCATGGGTAACACCCCCGTCCAATCTCCGGGTTGCAAGCGCATCTTGCTGCACAGTGTCTTCAGGGCCCGGAAGACGATCTGGTTCACCACCTCAACCTTGTCCCGTTGGCCCAGCGGCTGTGTGGTGTGACAAAATGGTGATGAACACCAAACATTCGATCCAGGGTACTGACCAGTTCGTTCTTGAAATGGGACCCAGAGTCGGATACCCAGGTCCTTACCACCCCAAACAGGCCAAAACATTCCATCAACGCCGCGGCTGTCTCTGCTGTAGACGCTGTCGTACTGGTATGCAACCGAATGAACCCCCTCATGTCATCCTTGATGACTAGGACGTATTTCAGGCTTCCAGGAGCCTCTGGGAGCGACAGCCAGTCGAAATTAATCAACTCATTTGGCTTTGTGCATGCAGCGCTTCATCCAGGGACGGGGTACCGTCGATCACCATACAGTGGAGGCAGGCAGTGACGAAGTTCTTCACGTCAGTCTTCAGGGAAGGCCAATCAAACATCTCAGCAACAGATGCCGTCGTCGCTTCCACTCTCCGGTGTCCCGCCACGCCGGCATGGACCACCACACATATACGCACTTGCATACCCAATGTATTTCCCGGGATCCGGATCTTTCCAGCTGCCGTTAGAAAACACTTCCTCTCGGCGCTCCACGAGGCGTATTTTTCACATGTCGGATGGACTGCACTGCAATTCCGTGATCGAATTCACCGTCAGCAACACAAATTCTTCGTGCCGTAACGGGGACACCAGGGCCAGCCTGGACATCTGGGCACTCCAGGACCCGACCGGAAAGCTCCGGTTCGGTCCAGGAGGACTTCCCCAACGGCTCAGGAGATCTGCCCACAGGTTGTCCTCTCCGGCCACACACTCCACTACATACGGGAACGTCGTCATCGTCAGCGCCCAACGCTGGAGCTTGTGAGCCTGGTACTTGGCCATGCTCGAGTTCGACCCCAGGGTGTTAAACATGTACACCAGGTTGCGGTGGTCCGTAAACAATCGGAACCTCCCGGACGGATCAGGAGGTACTCCAGGCGCTTGCATGATTCGACAACCGCAAACGCCTCCTTCTCCACAATCGGCCATCGCCCGCTCGCTCCCCTGAACGATCCGCTCAGGAACGCCAATGGTTCATGTCGCTGGTCGCTCGCCGGCAGTGCCAGATCCTCGACCTGAAACTGTGTCGCAACAGCTCCCCAGAACCCCTCGCTCGCGTCGGTATACAAACATAACATCTTGTCTGGGTGGGACAACGGGACCATACGTTTCAACGTCTCCTTGATTCGGTCGAAACACTCCAGGTGGTCCCCGGAGCACCCGACGGAACTGAGTGCAACACGCGTCAAGGTCGTCTTCTTCCGGGAGTCGGCCGCCTTGGCCGCAATATCCAACAGATTCATCAACGGGGCTACCAGCTCCGTGTACTGCGGTATCCCCCTCACCCAGTTCGTGGCGCACAGGAACTACTGGAGATCCGCTGACATCTGCGGTGACCCCAAATCACACAAGCCCTGATTCCGTTCCGGGGCATGCGCCACGCCGTCCGCCGAAATCTCTTTCCCATACCACACTGTCCGGATGGTGTAAAAAACACACTTCCCGGGGTGCAACTGCAGTCCGTACGCTTGGCAAATCTCAAGCACTTTACGCAGCAGGTGCAACAACTCGTCCGTGGTCTGGGCATACCCCAACAAATCATCCAACCATCTGAGCACTCCGTGCATCAGGAGGCCCCTGAACAACTCATCGACCACCCCTTGGCAATAGGCCACCGCATCGGTCTGGCCCATCAGGACCCGGGTCGGGGTCACAACCCCTACGGGAGTCATGAAGGAGTAGTACTCCTGGGAGTCCGGGCGTAAGGACAGCTGCCAATACCCCTTCATCCAGTCCAGTTTGAAGTAGACTTTCGAGCCCTTCAGTACAACCTTGTCCACCTCGAGATTAGGCATGGGCCAGGGCATCGACTCGGTACACGCATTGATTGGTCTTGAGTCAATCGTCATCCTGAGGTCTCCCGGAACTTTCTTCAGGACAATCCTCGGGACCGAGGCCCAGCGCGATCTAGTGTTGCGGTACACCAGACCCGCTTCTTCCAGCTCCCGAACATGCTTTCCAAGAACGCCATATGGTGGGGGGTAGCGCCGCAGTCCCGACTTCACCGGCACATCCCCTTCCTTGAGGCGCACCTTCCATGGGTCTACTTTCACCGGCGAGCCTCTCCCGACCTTCAGCCGGAACACGTCGCGGAACTCCATCAACAGGTTCCGGAGGTGTCGACAGCTGCTGTTGGCATGCCCGCGGTAGTCGCCTCGTCCACCTTGGCTTCCAGAACAATACGCACCGGACCATCGTCGTCAGGCGCATTTCCCAGTTCTGGCGTTGCATACGCCATCCCTTCGTCGCTGTCGTTTGACAACTCTCCCATCGGCTGGGTACGGTGCATCGCGACTCCTGGAGTCGTGATCGGCTGAACCCCGAAATGCCGACGTTCATTCTCCAGCAACGTCTGTTCATTGTAGCCCAGCTTCTGCATCACGGACAGGTCCAGCGTATACTCAACGGGTGCTACGGTCTCATCGACCCTGACCCGGAGCCCTCGCAACATCAGCGGCCCACACGCGGTCTTTAATTCCAGGCTGCCCAGGCGAACTTGTTTCGTCACAGTTATCATCTGGCTGTCCGCCCCGCACGGTCGAAGTTCCATCGGGCCCATGACCGTAATCTCCGGGGATGCTCCTGCAACCAACAGCGCATAAACCAGGCCTCCGGAGGCCACCGACAAATCAGCTCCTAAGTCCATAAGTGATGCCTGTACGGGAAGGACACCGTCCACAATAGCCGGGTGCTCAGGCCGTTTCGCGTCCGGGACATCCGTCTTCACTGTCGCCACGCGGCCACCAAGTGCTCCCGAGGCTCTTTTCTGGCCGCTCCGGGGCGTTGTGCAGCTGTACGTCGTTCTGTCCCATATCCACATCTTCCTTCTCCGTGCAGGTCCAGGAGCCGTCCCGGGTGTACCGCCATACTCGGGAGCCGCAAACATCGCCGATCTCCCGTAACCCCAGGACTCATCAACCGCCATCGGTTGTCGCTTTCCTTGTGGTGACCGGAACAGCCGCCGCGCCGTTGCACTGATCTGGGGCCTTCCACGGTCCTCAAAGCGGTCCACACACGGTGTTCGGGCCGCAGGACTCGTCGAGCAATCCGACCAGGATCGAGCTCCGACTAGGATCGAGCTCCGACAGAGTCCCAGTGGTCGCTACTGGGTATCTGCACGTCCAAGGCATGCTCATTTCCCGTTCCAGTAAACTCCATGCGTTCAGTCGCTAGCGTTTCTGTAAGGCAGCTAAAGTATTCTTTGTTGTCTTGCGCCGGTGTTCGCAACCGACGACTACCGTGTTCACAACGGTGACCTCGATGACAAATCCAAAAGTAACTTCATTATCCAGTCAATCTCGATGACAAATCCAAAAGTAACTTCATTATCCAGTCAATCAGTCAGTTCCCTCCTTTCACTTCACTACTCTCTACAAGTCATGTATCGGTACAGTGTTCCATAAGCTCGGAGCATATGCCTTTCCGGACCCAGGCCATATTTCACACCACTCAAATGTCTTCTTGTTCCGGACCAACATTCCGCTACCCACACTCAAGCAAGGGGGGTCGAACAGTTCGCTAATGATCGTATCGACGATGGACGCCCGCACCTTGAACGTCAGCGTCTTCGCCGAAGAACAATTCGCCAATGATCGTATCGACGATGGACGCCCGCACCTTGAACTTCAGCGTGTTCGCCGACAG